AAGAGCAGAGACAGCTTCCTGAAGCGGGTGAAGGAGAACGACCAGAAGAAAAAGGAAGCCAAAGAGAAGGGCACCTGGGTTCAGCTGAAGCGCCAGCCTGTTCCACCCAGAGAAGCACACTTTGTGAGGACTAACGGGAAGGAGCCCGAGCTGCTAGAGCCCATTCCCTATGAATTCATGGCCTGATGTACAAAAAAAATAAATAAATAAAAAAATAAAAGACCTGGACCGTAAAAAAAAAAAAAAGAAAAAAAAAAAGAAACAAGATGACAACAGTTACTGAAACGACAACTGTTCAAAACCATCATCATGTCTGTCCCCAGACATCTCCAAAAAGGGAGTTACCAGTGCAAACATGTCCAAGTTAGTTCAAGAACCACACCACAGGCACCCAGTCTTGACAATTCCACAGAAATATTCAAGCACTCTTGAATATCCCTTACTCTAGGCTCACGAAGTATGTTTCCGGTTGTAATAATTCCACCAACATCCTACAGGTAAAATATTAAGATCAAGAATGAAATCAAATCCCACACCCAGGTTGCAGGTCTAGCTTCAGGTACAGTTCTGGCTCTAGATCAGTCACAAAAATGATCCATAAAATGATTCCATAAAAACATCAATGTAGAGCCTGTGCACCGATGATGTGTCGTGCCCTCGAGTCTGCAAGGAACCAGTGTCTTTTATGTGATGTTTGCAAAAATAAGTGTAAGGTTTAGAAAAAAAAAAGTGCTATCATGTACTCAATGATAAAAAGTTTTAAAATAACACAATTTTTAAGTAATATCAGAGCTAGTCAGATAATTAGGCTCTAAGATTCAATTGAATAAATCAAAGTTGGAATTGAGGAGCAGGACATGGATGCTGGGAACCAAACCCTATAACCCTGCAAGATCATCAAGCGCTCTTCGCTGCTGAGCCATCTTGCCAGCCCTATGAGTTTGTGAGTTTTTAATGCCTTTTAGACATGACAGGACTGCTCCACTCATGAACTATGGTTGCCTGAGTAAAACCTGCATGCAAGAGATCAAGCCAGTGAACCTTCCAGAGAAAGGGGAGAAGAACTTAATGTCACTCAGATGGGGAACTACCGACAGTTGATAAGTGCTAGGGAGGAAGAGGCCATTTTCTGTAAGGTCGTGGTCCACGATAGGTTTATCATGCTCCTTTGGGGAACCCCACACCCATGCATATGAGAGAAGCACTAATTGGACTGGGGGGGGGGTCGGTAAGGAAAGTTACAGACAGACAGAACATGAGAATGGAAAAGTGGAGAGCAGATCTGGGAAGAGTTGAAAGGGTGTGGTGGGTGAATACAATCAAAATACGGGAAATGCAGTGAGGGACCCTGTCTAAAAAACAAAAGAGCAAAGTGCCAGAGGAGGACATTCAGCTTCCTGCTATGGCCCCTAAACACACAGAGATATACATGGCTATATACACAACTTATACACACACACAGAGACACATAAACATCATACACACAGACAGACACAAAAATAAAACACACACAAAATCAAGAGAAGGACTAACTGGGAAAAGGGGGAAGACCAGGAGAGGGCAGCATAAGAGAAAGAAATGAGGGTTTGGGGGATGCATGTTACATTGCACAAGTAAGAAAATGTCTGATTTTTTAAAAAAAATATTTCTTTAAAAGAATAGGTTCCTAAATCAATAATTGTATCCACTGGGGAAATTATATTAAAAGAGCAAGAAAGACATTTGGTTTGGGGATATAAACATGTATAAAGACATTAAAGGGCATTTTAAATGCACATATTTAGTAACTTTATCACAATTATTTTAAAACTATTTAAGATCTGCCACTCCTAATCACTATGTTTGGTGAATACTGTGTTCTTGGGGTCATCTGCAGCTATTCAATCACTACGTTGGAAACAGAATATAAAAAGGTTGTTACTACACACTCTTCCAGACTCCCTGTGCAGTGATATCTCTGCAGATGAAAACTGACCCGCAGCAGAATCTACACAAGGAAATCAGCAAAGACTATAAAACTGGACTAGACTTAACATATTACTGAAGGCTTAAACTTAAAAAACTGCTGGGCGATATGTTTAAAATGCATGTTAAGATTATTGGGTGAATAATCTTAACATGCATTTGACCGCGAGGGGTGCACCCACACACTGAGACAATGGGGATGTTCTATCGGGAACTCACCTAGGCCAGCTGGCCTGGGTCTGAAAAAGCCTGGGATAAAACCGGACTCGCTGAACATAGCGGACAATGAGGACTACTGAGAAGTCAAGAACAATGGCAATGGGTTTTGATCCTACTGCACATACTGGCTTTGTGGGAGCCTAGGCAGTTTGGATGCTCACCTTACTAGACCTGGATGGAGGTGGGTGGTCCTTGGACTTCCCACAGGGCAGGGAACCCTGATTGCTCTTTGGGCTGACGAGGGAGGGGGACNGGCGGGGAAGAGACAGAAACATTTAATAAATAAATTAATTAAAAAAATTTTAAAAAATGCATGTTAAACATACAAATGTATATTCTCCAGAGACATGCCATCATGCATATGACAAAAGCCTTGGGGGGGTGTCTTCTTTCATTACTTAAAAGCAGTTGTTCTGCACAAGATACTGTTCATATATATAACACTGAAGCATAAGCAAAATCCTGTGTATCTTTGTTGTTATGCTCTGTCACATCTGTTAAAATAGATTTGGGCATGGCATGGTGACATAAACCTTTAATCCCAGCAGTCAGGAAGCAGGAAGGCAAAGTGGAGGATCTCTGTGAGCTCTAGGCCAGCCCAGTCTACAAAGCAAGTTACAAAGTAACCGGGACTACATAGAGAGCCCCTATCTCAAAATGCTAACAACAATCAAATTCACTGAAGGAAAATAAGAAAAATATGTGAACAGTTATTTTATTAGAGATGTACAAACAGCAATTAAGCACACAAAACAACTGTTTTATTTCAGAATACTTAAGGAAATGCCATGAAATACACAGTGAAATGTCACAGTATACTTAGTGAAATACACTCATGATGTATAGGACAGTCTTAGAGGGTTAGCGTTGTGGCGTGCATGCCAGGATGGAAAGGGGCAGCCACTTTCACATACCGCTGGCGAGAATGCAGAAAGGAGTTAACAAATCAGAGCTGGGATTTCGTAAATGCTTCTTAAAATATTCATTCACCCCTCTGGTGTCACAAGTGAAGTTATTAACACAAAGTGATTGTATGCATAGCCATATAAAACCTGAAATACTCACAGCAGTCTTATTTGTAGTATGCGAAATCTGTAAAGAAAATTTTCTACATAAATTAACAGATAAGCCAACAGCTGATCTACACAAAATGTTACTCAGCAACAATCACAATGTTTCATATAAGAATCATTGTTGAATCTTGAAGTAATTATACAACATATCTACACACACACAAGCACACATGTCACGATGACAATAACTGAAAATTCCAAACAACGTAAACTAATCCACTGTGTGTGTGTGTGTGTGTGTGTGTGTGTGTGTATGTGTATAAGCTAAGAACATTAGATGTTCTTCTGGAGAACCTGGGTTCAGTTTCCAGCATCCACATGGTGGCCCACAGCCATCTGTACTGCCAGCCCCCAGAGAGCCTACTTCCCCTCTGGCCTCCACAGGTAGTAAGCATGTACATGGTACACAGACATACATGCAGGAAAACACACACACATACACACACACACACATAAAATAAAGTTTAAATTAAAAACAAAATCATTGGTTGTCAGGAGAGGTAGGAAATGTAAGATAATAAATGGGCATGTCATAAACAGACAACAAAGAATGTGTTTTCATAACTATAATGATTTCCAAACTTTCCCAATCGGGGTTTTGTTTTTTTGAGCTAGGGCCATGCTGTGTTGTGCTCACTGAGCCACAAACTCCTGAGCCCATGCAATCCTCATTCCTCAGTTTTTTTAGAAACCGGAACTGCAAGCACACGCCGCGGTGCCATGCCATGTACTTTGCTGAGTGCCACTTATACAAATGACACATAAATAAAGCTATAAAAAGTAACCTGAAAAAATATACTTAGATGTCCCACTGTTCCCAAATGTTCATCACAACCTAATATGGATTCCACCATCTCGGAACCCGAGAGGCACAGTCCACTGGCAGTCCACCTTGGGAAATAATAAAAGTTACTGGCTCTTGAATCACAAATAGGTCAGAATTATACCCCATGCCACAAAAGCATCTTTCCCCTCTTGTACTCCTGCCTGTACAGCTTCAGCCCAAATTAAAGAAAAGAATACAGGAATCCACAAAAAATGTCTCACTAATTTCTCTGACAAAAACCACAGTCCCAGGAAATAGTCATAGAGATCTAGAGGATTGTTCTCACACAAGTCACTGGAACATCTACAGATGAATCTTTATCAGAAGCTTGTTCCAGCGCCAGAGACATGGCTCAGAAGGTAAAAGCACTTACCCAAAGCCCGATGACCTGAACTCAATCCCTGGAGCCCACATGGTAGGACAGAATCATGTTGCAAAGCTGCCGTCTGACCTCCACACATGTGCCATGTACATGCGCACCAACACACATACATGTCCAATAGGGGAAATGTGAGATTATTTCCGTATCTGTTAACTCAGTTCCTGTCCCAATCACAAACTGCTCCTGCCTACTAGTCAACACACTATACATAGCAAATGGCTCCAGTACAAGGCCTGCAAAGAAATTACCCTCAACAAGGCCAGGAATTGTGTGACATCCCAGCAAAAAAAGAGAGTTTAATTGTTGACGTGCTTTAAAAGTGCCTGGTATTGTCGGAATTCTCCTCTTCATCAGGACTTCTTACCTCACTAAAATCACAGCACCTTCCGTAAGCCAAGAACAAAAAAATCCACCATTTTACCTGCTCTCATGGCTGAGAGCAGGAGCAGCCACAAAATCAGACCATTGCTCTACACAGCTGCTTCTGGCAGGTGTATCATACCCTTTGAAACACAGAAAGTGAGGATCTCTATGGAACTGGCCCACCTCTCCGTGCTGACATCATGGGTCAGTTGAAAAGTCATGCCACAGAATGATGAGAACCCTCAAGATTCAAGATGCATAAACAAACTATCTATTCAAAAAGATAAGTCAGAGATTATGAGCAGCAAGCATTTCCCAAGTTGGCCAATTCAAACCTGGAAATATTCATAGCGAGCACAGTATGAAAACAAACTTCCCCTGAAAAAGTTCCTTAGCAAAGCTGAAAACACAACTCAGACCATACCTTCCAAATAAGATTCCTGCCCTGCAAGGAAATAAGGGGTTTCCAAGGCTAAGGCCAGAGCAGAGTACAGAAGTTTGCATCTCTGAGCACACAGGAAGGATACCCACCCTCACCGTGTCAATCTTCCAGGTTGCAATGTGACAGGGTTTCTACTGCAGACACTGCCAATGGCATAAGTCAGGATATGGCCCTGGGCAGACTAGAAACTGGAATGAAGCTCCTCAAAGTTTTCCCCCTTTGAAGCCCACATGAATTATCTTTAAACTCAGAAGGCTGCTCGACTCCCCCGGTGTTACTACACCAACTCACTAAGCAGCACATTTCCTACACGATAAAGAAGTTTCTCAGGTGTGAACCCTCTGGTGTCGAACAAGATTAGACCTACGGCTAAAGGATTTCTCACAGTCACTGCATTCATAAGGCCTTTCTCCAGTGTGAACCCTTTGGTGCTGAATGAGGTCTGACTTGTGGGTGAAGAGTTTGCCACATTTGCTACACTCATAAGGCTTTTCTCCACTGTGGCTTCTCTGGTGTTGAACTAGGCTAGCACTTTGGCTAAAGGACTTCCCACATTCACTACACTCATAAGGATTCTCTCCAGTGTGCAGTCGCTGGTGCTGAATGAGGCTAGCACTCTGACTGAAGGCTTTCCCACACTCGACACACTCATAAGGCTTCTCTCCAGTGTGAACTCTCCGGTGCTGAATGAGGCTAGAGCACTGCCTAAACGACTTCCCACACTCTTCACACTCATAAGGCCTTGTGCCAGTATGAATTCTCTGGTGTTGGATGAGGTCAGACTTCCGGGTGAAGGATGTGCCACATTCCCCACACTTATAAGGCCTTTCTCCAGTGTGAACTCTTTGGTGCTGGATGAGGATGAACTTGCGACTGAAGGATTTCTCACAGTCACCGCACTTGTAAGGCCGGTCCCCAGTATGAACTCTCCGGTGGCGAATGAGGTTGGAGAACTGCCTAAAGAGCTTGCCACACTCGCTACACTCATAAGGCCTTTCCCCACTGTGAATTCGCTCGTGCTGAATGAGTTCGGCTTTGGAGCTAAAGGCTTTCCCACAGTCGCTGCACTGATGAGGCATTTCTCCCGTGTGGACTCTCCTATGTCTAATGAGATTGAAAATCTGTCTAAAGGATTTCCCACACTCGCAGCACTCATACGGTCTTTCTCCAGTATGAATTCGGTGGTGTCTAAAGAGGCTAGAGTTTTGTCTGAAGGATTTCCCGCACTGATCACACTGATAAGGCCTCTCTCCGGTGTGGATTCTCTGGTGTTCGGTGAGGTTAGATTTATAGGTGAAGGATTTCCTACATTCCACACACTCATAATGCACTCTATTAATGTGGTGTCTCTGATGATAAACGAGTTCGGATTTGTAGATAAAGGCTTTTCCACATTCAGTGCATTTATATGGTCTTTCTTGAGGACACATTCTATCATGTGCAATGAGGTGACACTTTTTGCTAAAAGATTTTTCATGCTGACTATGCTCATATGTCCTTTGTCCCGTGTGACTGTCCTGGTGCTGAGCTAGTTTGTACTTGCAGAAGGCCTTCTCATACTTGCTACCCGCACGAGGCCCCTTTTCAGGCGACACACTGTGACACTGAACAAGAGTATGTTTGTGCCCTGAACCTTTTTGGCATTCACTGTACTTCAGTTTTTCTCCACTCAGAAGTGCTTCCCCACCCCTGCCGCTACTGTGAGGCTGCTCACTACTACAGGCGGCCTGCTGCTGAAGACAGCCTGTGGAGGCAAGAATCTTCTCCCCATCCTCCCCAAAGATGGATGGCTTCGTCAGCACATGGGGTCTGCAACTTGGCATAAATGAAGCCCTGTTAGCATCCCGTTCGGAGTGCTTTTCTCCACTGTCACTCTTCCGGTGTTGGTTAATGCCTTCATTCAAACCGGAGCTTTGCATGCCTGTTCTGCCCAAGTACAATGTCTGCACAGAGGGTGCGCTTCGGAATTCATTCCGGTGCGAAATGCCTTCCAAAGCTGGAACAGGAGTCTCAAAGTGCTGAGTCTCCTGAGTGGAGGGACTTGGCTTAGACATCACCCCTTCTATAGGCTCATCCTGCTCAGAGCTTACCTCTTCACTCCCCATTCCAGAACAGGTCCCTGGAATCAAAGAAACAAATGTTGAAATGCTAATGAAACGGCACTGACAGCAGGGGAGAGGACAAGCCCATTATGAAGGTGAGTCAGACACAGAAAACAATGGTACAGCTAAACTCAGGTTACATCTGCACACTAAGCACTGGGGAATCTCAGGCAAGATAGTGAGGGCTTGTAAGTTTGAGGCTAGCCCGTGCTACATAACCAAGAGCTTATCAACAAAATATAAAAATAAAGAAATAAAGGGGAAAGAAACAATGAAACCTGGACTAGTCTAAGAACAAAAGAGCCGTAGACAAACGTAGGGAGCTATTTCAAATACTGACAGGCTACTTCACCCTAGACAGAGGACACAGGACAGGATGCAGGAAGGGAGAAGCACAAGCTGCAAGCAGTTCCTCAGCTAACAGCCTTCAGCGGGACCTTTCCTACTGGGGATGTGGCTACACTGAGCAAAAGTCCTCAAATAAAAGCAAATAGCTAGAGATCAAGGGCTGATTAAGACTGTGTTAAAGCAAACAGCCAGTGGTCAAAACTAAGACTGTAACAGCATAAAGGAACCCAAGAGCCAGAAGCCACAGGTAAAATTACAAGTTGGTAAAGTATTAAACACGGAGAAGTAAAAGCAGAAGTAAGGCATGATGGGTGAGTCCTTTACTAAAACACTGTGGGACACTCTCCTGCTTCCTGGAACGATGGAAACATGCCTTTCCTGGGTGCCTATTACCAGGTCAGGTCTCCTCTAAGACAATCTTGTCATGTCAACCATATGAGGCAACCAAGACTCTCCCCACCCTGCAGCCCTAACCACACAGGACATGACAATTACAAATATTAAAAAAGAAGAAAAGAAAAGGCAAGTTAGTGACCAGTAGTAATTCACAGCAACTTAACATAAAATAGTATATGGGAGGAAAACAGAACCAAACTCCTAAGGGTTCGTCAAGAATAGCCCACGGTTCATTTAAAAATAAATTTCTCACTAGGAATTTCTCACTAGGAAGCTATAAAGATATGACAACTAAGCCTGGTGTATGCCTTTAATTCCAGTACTTGAGAGGCAGGGGCAGGCGGATCTCTATGAGGAGTTTAGGGCCAGACTGGTCTACATAGTGCATTCCAGTCTATCCAGGGTTATACAGAGATCGTTTCAAAAGAAAAGAAAAAGAGACAAAGACACAGAGAAAGGAAGAAAGAGAAAGAGAGAAAAGAGAGAGACAGAGAGAGAAAGAAAGGAAGGAAGGAAGGAAGGAAGGAAGGAAGGAAGGAAGGAAGGAAGGAAGGAAGGAAGGAAAGAAAGATGACAACTATAGGAATTAGGCAGGAACCAAGGCATGGGGCACTACAGATGTGGACAGTCACCCTAACAGGGAGACATTTTGAGACTTGTTATGACTCCAGAGATTGCAGTCACTCTCTGGTAAAAAGTAAAGGTAGAAATCATTTAGGACACTGGGAGGGATGCAAGGACCTTACCCAGAGATGCCACAAGTGCAAGGTTCTCCAGCATCACACTGCAGTACAGGAACCTCTGGGCCTTATCAAGAAGCACCCATTCTTCCTGGGAGAAGTGAATGGCAACATCCTCAAAGGTCAGACCCTATTGCAACACAAACAATTCATCATATGATCAGCTTCCCTTCCAAACTCCAAGCACACCTGTTGACCCAACACACATCGTTTGCTTACTGTATTTTCCATCTCATATCAGAGGAGACACTCAGCCCAATGTCCACTCTCTGCTCAATGATACTGTGCCCTTCCACAGAAATGGCGGAGATATAAACACAGCTGAAATCTAAACTCTAGGCCTAGGATGAAGGCCACTACCCCCTCTTGTCAATGCTGTGGCTGTCACAGGTACTGGTTAGGGAGAAAAATGGTCATAGAAAAAATAGGCTAACTTGAATTTTGTCTTGTCAGACAACATCCCTGAGGAGCCTAAAAATCCTCCAGACACAAGGAAATGGGCTCCCCCTTTATCCTATGGCTCCTTACTGCTCCTGGGGCAATCAGTTCGTACTACATTTGTACATAGCACTCTATGAGTATACGCACATGTGTGTGTTTGTGTGTGTGTGTATACGTGCACATATGCATACAAGCATACATTCATTTGTGGAGGCAAGAGGTCAATGCTGAGTGTCACATTCAATTATTCTCTATTTTTTAAGACAAGCCTTCTCACTGAACCTGGAACCCACTGTTCAACCAGACAGGCTAGCCAGTGAACTCCAGAGATCTGCCTGTTTCTGTTTCCCACCCTCAACCCCACCCCACACGCACTTTATGTGGGTGCTGGCAATCTGAATTCAGGTCCTTGTGCATTAAAAGCAAGCACCTTACCCACTGAGTCATCTCCCCAGTCCCATACCCAGCACTCTAAATCATGTATTTTTTTTTTGTATGACTATATTCCCACAGCTACAATCTTAAAAGACCACACAGCCCTGCATGATAGGAAAAAAAAAAATGTTACGATCCCTTTTCTTGTGAAGACGCCAAGGTAATGCACACCCCTCACCCAATCCTATCTTGCCATGAGTATATACCACGCCTGAGCACCACTTACTCCCAGTCCCAGTGTTTCTCAGACTCAGTGATCACTGACCACCATGCACAGCACCAATAGTAGAAGGACAATAAGCACAGCCTAACTCTGGCCCTGATATGTGGAGCTGAATGCTTTATTTCCATAGAATTGGCCTGTAGTCCTCCACATCCTTCATCCTATATACAACCAAATAAAGATCTGCACCTTCATTCCTATGCCCTCAATGTGAGGGCTTTGAGGTTACCAGTTTCTATTTCCATCCCAAGTGCATAGGATTCTGTTCCACATCTCTCTCTATTCTTGCTGACATCCAACCACTGCTACGCTGAGAGCAGTTCCTTGGCCTACCCACTGGTTCCTCAGTATGTGGGGTCCAGAGAGTCCTTGGGAAATTCAAAGAGGGTCCAACATCCCCCTCTTCCAAACCTCTCACAGATGCCACTCCAAAGCAGCCCCAACCCTGTTATGATGGGATCCTACCTTATTCTATTTCTTGGTTCAAACTTACCCACCAACCATCATTCATAGAAGCCAGGTATGTTGACTCGTGCCTATAATTCCAGCCCTTGGGAGGCTGGGGCAGGAATACTGCCAGCTTGGGCTACATAGTGACATGGTAGGCCTCTTTCACCCCAAGTACATACAAACAGTAAAAACTGCTGAAGGAACCAGACCAGCTGTGATGCCTGGAAGAGACACTACAACCTGCCATGCTACCTGCAAGTTGTACAGTGTACTCCAGGGATCCTTCCATAAGCCATTAACCCATGCTGGGGTGGGCTTCTGTTGACACAGCTTAACTCTGAATCATTTCTACTCCTGAAAGGAACCCCTGACCCATGTTCCAGTATGTGCCTCAGCCTGAAGCGGGGATTGAAGTAGTTGAGGCAAGTGCAGATCTCCTTTCTCCTTGGGAGAAGCAACCTTCTACAGCTCCGTTCATGCTGCCAGCGTTTCATACACCCCTCAGCCTATACACAAAACTGTGTTGCACACCTAACATGTTCAAGACCGCAAGGCCCAGGGCTATACAGTGAGAGAACAGTCCAAGGACACGGTTAATCTAAAAACTGTATAGGTTAGGAGGAGGGTAATGGCAGGTTCTGCTTACCGGGCCTGACCCCATCACTGTCTCTGAAGTCAAGAGAATCTGAAAAAGAGAAGGAGACTCAGACTCTGGCAGCCACAGGCAGGTTCCACAGACTCCAGTGACTCGGTGCCCACCCTGGGGCTAGGTGGCCTAGGATGTCTGCCTAGGATGACTGCGGAGTGTCTCAGCTGTGAGATGTGACACCTGTGGCAAGCACCCTGTTCTTTCCTGCCTATCATGTCTCTTCCTGTTTGTTTTTCCTCTGAGTAACTTCTGGAAAGTATTTCCAGAACATGGTCTATTTCTGGACATGGTCACTGTTCACAATTCTCACTGGTTCCAGTGTCCTAAGAATTAAAATCAAATCCCTCTGGTGCACCGAGGCCTCACAGCTCTTTGAGTAGACGCTATGACTCTGTATTTCCTAGGCCCAGCCGCCCTTCCAGGCCTTTGCACACTGCGACGGTCACAAACCCCAGCACACGGATGTTATGAATGGGGCTCCCCGCTCCCACCCACAAGCATCTTCTGCACGGGACTCCAGCTATGTATTGCAGGGCCATGATGGGGCCCTCTCTCCGGGCTCTAGCACTAGGGTGATACCCGCAGGACGCAGCACTTACCTGTGCCGGGTCCCTGTATGCGGCCGCGGCCATTGGACTGACTCTGCAGCGGGAGCAAGGAGCGGGTCGCCCAGGTCTGTTCCCCAGGCCCGGCGCGGGTCACGTGGGCGGAGTCGCTGGGCCTCAGCCAGGCCTCTGTACCGCAATGCAGCTCGCTGCGCTCCGCCTGCGAGAAGGCTCACCTCGGCCCGGAGCCTACAGCTAGGTAAACAAACCCCAGAAACGCCAAAACCATGGCTAAGAGGAGAACCACGCCGGAAGTCCAGCTCCAGGAACAAACCACTCGCGCGCGCGCGTACACACCACTCAGACTCAGAAACACAGATACACACACACACACACACACACACACACAAAAGTAAAAATAATGCCAAGTTTTCATTGGCTCAGCTCACTCCCCAACATCTCGTGTGCTTATTGCATTCCGGGAAATGTAGTTTCCACAGCTTCCCAGGCAGGTATCCCATCCCCCATCTTGACCCCTGTAGACTTAGTTTAAAAGAAAGGGGGCGTGCTGCTGGGACTACAGCTTCCAGGGGAGAGAGAGATGCTTAAATGAAGCTGTTCCCGGATTTCTGGGATCTGTTGTATGGCTCATCATCTCTATGTTTGGTAACTTATTTCAGAAACCACGAAGTTCATTGACATCAAGAGGCTAAAAAGGAAACAGATTCAAATGGACATATTCCATATACTCAGAGACACCAAGATGAGCTCTTATAAGGTCAACGCATCCGTGATAGGATAGGACTTCATGGTGATTCAGATATTTATGGCACACCCATACACCTATAAGAACCCTTCACCAGTACTCTGGAAGGAAATTCAGTAAGTTTATTGTTATCACACACAGACAGACAGACAGACAGACACACACACACACACACACCATAAATGTGCGTGCACGTATGTATGTGTGTATACACACACACACACACACTATTGGCTAGACTATAATGAACATTTTCTTATTGCTGTCCAGCTGTTTTCAATCAAAAGCATTAGTGACAAAATTTGTAACTCTCTGTATGTTCAGTAATGACAAGACAAGAAGAAAAACGAACAATGTCAATTGGGTAGAAAATATGGAATATAAAGAGGGATGTTTAGCCTACCCTAGAGCAGAAATTGAGGAGACATCTTTGCGTCTTGTTTTCTCAGAAAGAGGCTCTCCTGCCCATTTTCTAGTGATTGTATTCAGTGCATAAGTTCATATTGATCTTTTTCACTTAATATTTTTTGCTCAACATCCAAAGAAACCGTTGCCTTAAGAATTTACATGCTTCTTAGGTGGATATATTTATTCTCCTGGAAAGACACAAACAAAACCCTGCCCCAACCCTAACATTGGGTGAGTTTCCGTTTTGGCAGCTTATATCTGATAAAATAAAGGCATTTGTTAGTCTTATAAGTTAGTTTAGATTGATGGCCATGAGGTTACATTTACGCAATTTGAGTGTTACTTTAAAAAAAATACAACATGATAATTGTTAAAATATTTGTTTTTGGGACCTGGAGAGGTAATTCAACAGTTAAGGGCACTTGCTGTTCTGGCAGAGAACTGGATTCAATTTCCAGCACCCAAATGACAGTTTACACCCATCCGTCACTGCAGTTCCAGGGGAGCCTACACCTTCTCTGGTCTCCTCAGGCACCTGCACACACATGGTACACATTCATACATATATGCTGGCAAATACTCTTTTTGCAGATTTATTTTTTTTACCTCTTTTAAGTTGTTATTTATTGGTTAATGTTATTGGTTTTTTAATTGATTTTTATTGAACTCTACATTTTTCCCTGCTCCCTTCCCTGCCTCTCCCCTCCCCTTCAACCCTCTCCTATGGTCCCCATGCTCCCAATTAACTCAGGAGATCTTGTCTTTTTCTACTTCCCAAGTAGATTAGATCCATGTATGTCTGTCTTGGGGTCCTCATTGTCTGAGCTCTCTGAGATTGTGATTTGTAGGCCGGTTTTCTTTGCTTTATGTTTAAAAACAACTTATGAATGAGTACATATGATAATTTTCTTTCTGGATCTGAGTTACCTCACTCAATATGATGTTTTCTAGCTCCATCAATTTCCCTGCAAATTTCAAGATGTCGTTATTTTTTTCTGCTGTATAGTACACCATTGTGTAAAAGTACCACATTTTCCTTACCCATTCTTTGGATTCTCAAGGGACATTTAGGCTGCTTCCAGGTTCTGGTTATGGCAAACAATGCTACTATGAACATAGTTGAGCACATGTCCTTGTGGTATGTTTGAGCATCCTTTGGGTATATACGCAAAAGTGGTATTTCTGGGTCTTGAGGAAGGTTGTTTCCTAATTTTCTGAGAAATTGCCACACTGACATCCAAAGGGGTTATACCAGCCTGCACTCCCACCAGCAATGCAGGAGTGTTCCCTTTACCTTATAACCTCTCCAGCATAGGTTGTCATCAGTGTTTTTGATCTTGGTCATTCTTAGCAATGTAAGATGGAATCTCAGAGTTGTTTTGATTTGCATTTCTCTGATGGCTAAGGATGTTGAGCATTTTCTTAAGTATCTTTAAGCCATTTTAGATTCCTCTGTTGAGAGTTCTCTGTTTAGGTCTGTACTTCCCCTTTGTTATTGGATTATTTGTTCTTTTGATGACCAATTTCTTGATTTCTTTGTATATTTTGGAGATTAGACCTCCGTCTGATGTGAGGTTGGTGAAGATCTTTTCCCACTCTGTAGACTGCCTTTTGTCTTGTTGACCATGTCCCTTGCTTTATAGAAGATTCTGTTTCAAGAGGTCCCATTTATTAATTGTTTCTCTCAGTGTCTGTGCTACTGAGGCTATATTTAGTATGTGATTTTCTGTGCCAATGCGTTCAAGTATACTTCCCACTTTCTCTTCTATAATGTTCAGGGTGGCTGGCTTTATGTTGAGGTCTTTGATCCATTTGGACTGGAGTTTTATGCATGGTGATAGATATGAATCTATTTTCATTTTTCTACATGTTGATATCCAGTTATGCCAGCACCATTTGTTGAATATGCTTTCTTTTTTCTATTTTATATTTTTCCCTTTTTGTCAAATATCAGGTGTTCATAGGTGTGTGGATTAATATCCGGGGCTATTCAGTTCCATTGGTCCTCCTGTCTGTTTCTATGCCAATACTAAGCTGTTTTCAGTACTATGACTCTGTAGTAGAGTTTGAAGTCAGGGATTGTGATACCTCCAGAAGTTTCCTTATTGTACAGGATTGTTCTGGCTATACTAGATTTTTTTACTTTTTCATATGAAGTTGAGTGCTGTTCTTTCGAGATCTGTCAAGAATTTTTCTGGGATTTTGCTGGAGATTGCATTGAATCTGTAGATTGCTTTTGGTAAGATTGCCATCTTTACCATGTTAATTCTACCTACCCCAAAGCATGGGAGATCTTTCTACTTTCTGATGTCTTCTTCTATTTCTTTCTTCAAAGATTTAAAGTTCTTGTCATACAGGTCTTCCACTTGTTTGATTAGGGTTACTCTGAGACACTTTATTCTATTTGTGGCTATTGTGAAGGGTGGCGTTTCTCTGATTTCTTTCTCAGCCCATTTATCATCCATATAAAGGAGGGCTACTGATTTTTATTTTTAGTTAATCTTGTATCCTGCTACATTACATTATTTATGAGTTGTAGAAGTTCCTTGGTAGAATTTTTGGGGTCACTTATGTAAACTATCATATCACCAGCAAATAGTGAGAGTCTGACTTCTTTTCCAATTTGTATCCCCTTGATCTCCTTTTGTTGTCTTATTGAAGAGCACTTGCTACTCTTTCAGAGGACCAAAGTTTACTTCCCAGCATCAATAACCACTTATAACTCCAGTTCATGGGAATTAATGCACTCTACTAGACTTTGCAGGCACCAGGCATGCTTCTGAGGCACTTTCTTACAGACACACACACACACACACACACACACACACACACACACATTGGTCAAAGAATAATTTGGGGAGTCAGTCTTTTCCTTCCACTGTATGAGTCCCAGGGATCAAACTCAGGTTATAGCCCTTGGCAGCGATGTCTTCACTATCTAAGCCATCTCTCTGGCCATAGTCTTTTCTTGATGAATCTACTTTTCTTGTGTGTTGAACATACAACACACAAAAGAATTTGTGAATGACAGTTCCTCCAATTCACTTCTGATAGTCAAAGCTTCACTTCTTATCCTTTTGGCTAAGACCAAATGTCATACCCAGCAACTCACTCCTACCCACTCATTCTCATCTTCCCCCATCTAGGAATCCATCATATAAATTTTTCATGAGGTAACAATAATCACACAAGAAGTAAAACCCTCAAGTTTGTAGGGATAAGTTCCACCCCTTAGGGGGCGTGTTCGCCTTGGGCTAATGTTTGCCTATAAATTTGGCGAGCGTGCTCCCAGACGCTGCTTCTGCTTTCCTGGTCTCTGCAAGAACGGTGGTTCTGTAAGTCTATTTCCCCATTAAAGCTGTCTGCATTTGTTACAATCTGTCTGCATTCGCTTACGCTGTTACACAAGTTGGCAAGATGCACAGCCAAATGTATTTCCCACATCCCAATCTCAGTGCCTTCATGTACCCCACCAATTCCACCTGGTGTTTTTCAGCCATCTCAGAGGGTGTTTTCCTCTGTAGCCCCCTCCCTTAGCCTGATCTGCCTCCAATAATTCTAATCCCTTTCAGGGATTTGAACACAGAGCAGGTGTTTTTCTGAGGTTTCTAATCTCCATGCAGACACTGTCACTGCACTAAAGAATGAAATGATAATCACCTCCCAGCAGGTTGACCTCACTGTGTGCCAAGCCTTTATGGCAGAGATGAAACACCCTCCTGTGGCATGCTCTGAATGTGACCAAGGTAGCTACTATGACCTAGAAACATACTTGGTAAGTTGTCCCCTTCTTTTCTGATAGTTTGGTTTCTCTGAAAATCTTTAAGACTATAGTATAAATATGCCGTCTTTTTGAGATAGGCTGTAACAAAATTCCTCAGAACTAGCTAGGAGCTATTAGGTTATAATGATGCACTTTGTTCAACCTGCAAGGAGGCTGGCCAGCAGATTTAAAAACCTGTAGTAGCTTGTTGTCCTAGATCTGAGAATTCACTTCTGAGCATTTTCTGTAACATCCACACAGCCATACATTCCCTAATATTTTGCTTTTATTCAGTTATTGAATCCTATGGGATTATGCTAAACTAATTCTGCTTAAACTCAGTGTAAATAATACCTCATTGATAGATTAATGCTGAATTCTCCTATAAGATTAGGCTTGCATCTATATTCTATGTATTTTTTGAGACAGGGTTCTACTATGAAGGTCTGACTGCCCAGGCTAGCCTCAAACTGACAGAGATCTTTTGCATGCTGGGATTGGTGGCTGGTTGATTCTTTATTTTTTTTAGGTTAATTTTATGTTCATGATTTACTCTTGACACAAGTTTTGGCATTATATATGTTTAAGAAAAATGCACGTTGATGTATTTTTTATGCTTTGTGTGAGTGTATTCAGGCATGCACACATTTGTACACCTGAGTGCAGTGTCCACGGAGTCCAGAAGGGACATACAAACATACAAATTCTTGTAGCCGTAATTGCAGGGACTTGGGAACTTAACAAGGTATGTGCTGGGAACTAAACTGGGGTCCTCTGGAAAACTCTGAAGTGTTCTTAAGCTCCAAGCCCCATTTTACATTTTTAATATACATGGTTGTATGTGCATATGTAATATGTAATGTTGTTCATTTGGAGGGCAGGGGACAACTTGTAGCCTTTTGTCTTGTTCTGCTACCACATAGGTCCCATGTGTCAAACTCATGGCATCAGATGCTGCAAGCTACACCATTATATAGTAATTGCTCAGCCGGCTTTTCACGAGCAACTTACCCAGAACCAAGGGATCTGGAAAAGGCTGAACCAAAAGGCAAGGCTTTTCAGCGTTACTACTTTGTGAATGAAGTGGCTGTCCTTTGCTGTAGATTTTTCACTGTAGCTAATTCGCTTTCTGTTACATATGGAGATGATGAGGGCCTGCAACCAATTCAGGATGCCTTGTCCTTTCTCATAGATGGTCTCAAAATTCATCAGCACCATTCCGCCATGCTGCCTCCACCCGCAGCAGCCCAGTTCCTTCCTGGGGGCAGATTAAAGTCTGACATCTGAAGTTACTCAAATTCTGATGAAACAGGGGAAAGCCTTGACTCCTGAGAATCATTTCCTAGCAATGCTAGCAGTGCTCACTCTCCAGGTATTCAGTTTGTTTTCTTGTACCTTAGCTCAGGAGACTTATTGGGGTTATGTCCCAGAAGCCCCTCTTTTTCACCCAGCCACATGGAATTCTGAAGATATAAAGGTTGTTTCTAACAACTCCTTTTTATTAGGGGGCGAATGTCTAGTTTTATACACCCCCGCTCAGCCAAACAATTTGATTTCTAAGGATATTCAGATAGCCTCCCCTTATGCTTTTTTGCCTAAACAACAACAACCCTTATACCAGGATGCCTGCCCTTAAAGCACAGAACTCTCAAAACCAGTCAGCGTAAATATAATGTCTGGTTGTTGAATGTAACTTCTCCTATAAATTGGTATCAACCGCCTGGATTTATTCCAGACCTCACATCACCCCCTAAGAAATTTCCAATTTGTGACTCTACACTTTCAATTCATGCCAGGGATGATGTGATGGCTGTCCTAAATGGACACGCTGCATTGTCCCCAAAACAGGAGTTGTTTTTCCTCCCTATGACAATACCCTGGTAAAGAGACATGATTGGTCTTACAGCTCCCTAGAACCCACTGTAAACCAATGAACAACTTTTGTCTGGGTCAGGCCAATGTATGTGGCCCTGCCCTCTCATTTCCAAAACCTCAGACTCAGTTATATGGGTTGCTATATACCGTGTTAGCCTTCAACTACCTACACAGGCAAACTACAATTCCTTTGATAGTCAGTCCTGTATTATGTCTCCTTTTGCCATCTTATATACAGGACAGACAGGAACTTTAAACATGGTTGCTAATGAATCAGTTTATGACATCTCCGGCAAGGATTGTTATCTAACTAACTGTATTAACTCATCTATAAAGCATTCCTCCTTCTCTGTAGACCATCCCACACACTGCTACCTGTTAAACTTTCCTCGCCCTGGTATGAAGATTCTGTCATATTTGCCTCAGAGCATGGTGCCAATGCTCTTTCAGACCCTAAAAGATTTATTGCTGAGCTTATCCTAGGTATTACTGCTCTTATAGCCATTGTGGGTTCTGTAGCTGTCTTCACCACAGCTCTGATTCAACAAATATATACTGCTAACCATGTTAACACCTTATCTAAGAATGTTTCTATGGCCCTAGTAACTCAGGAAGGAATTGATTATGGGCTAATAGATAGGATATAAGTTTTAGAAGAAACTGTCCTTTATATGGCAATCAGATTCAGAATATTAAGGCACACTTAAAAACATTGTGTCATGCTGATTATAAATGGATTTGTGTTACACCTCTGCTCTTTAATGGATAAGAATGTCCTGGAATCAAGTACCTGAGAGGTGTCTGGAATAATTTCCAGCTAGGTATAAACATAGGCACACTACATTCTCAAGTTAGTGCTATTAATAGCTATTGGCCATTCCAGACCCCAGCCTTCTTCTGCAGAAGGCATAGCCAATTATTTTGTTAACTCAGTCAAAGATTTTGTCAATATTAATCCTTTTTTATTAACTTGGTAATTATAGAATCATTAATTCTTTTATTTTTATTCTTTATTCCAGCCATCATCAAAAAAAATAGGATCAACTATATGCGTTACTCGAGAGAAATTCACACACTTCATTTTTTAAATGAGAAAATGGGAATTACTGCAAGCCACGACATTATACAGTAATTGCTCAGCCACCTTTTCAAGAGCAGCTTATCAGAACCAAGGTATCTGGTAAAGGCTAGAGCAAAAGGCAGGGCTTTTTGGCATTTTTGCTTTGTGAATGAATCGACTGTCCTTTGCTGTAGATTTTTCACTGTAGTTAACTCCCTTTCTGTTACATATTTGGAAATTAATTCCCACAGTTCAGAACTGTTTAGTGAAAACAGTTTCCCACTGCCAGGCCTTCTTCCTCTCTCCTAGGTAAGTGTAGAGATCTGCTTTCCTGCCTGGCTACTGGCCAATCAGCATATATTTAAAATACAAATTACAGGGTACAGACCCTATCCCACAGCATTGGTAACCTGTAGTGTGGAAGGAGCTGCGGGCAGGCCTGCTTTCCGTCCTGCCTGGCTCCTGCATGGTTAGATTTATACCTGAAATAACAATACACAAAGTGTGTTCTTTTAAACACTGCCTGGCCCATTAGTTCCAGTCTCTTATTGGCTAATTTGTATAACTTGCTTAACCCATTTCTAATAATCTGTGTAGCACCATGAGTAGGCTTACCAGGAAGGATTATAGCCTACATCCATCTTGGGCCAGAGCTTCATCGTGTCTGCCTGAATCTGCTGCTTTCTCCCAGCATTCTGTTCTGTCTACTCCGCCTATCTAAGCTGCTGTCCTATCAAAGGCCAAGGCAATTTCTTTATTAACCAATGAAATCAACACAAAACAGAAGACCCTCCCACATTACTGTAGAACTAAGGATAAAGAGGAATGATGCAGATTTAAGGAACAATATAGAACTAAGAGCAGTGTAGAACAAGGAGAACAAGTAACAGGTGGAACTATGAGAAATGATGGATTGAAGAGAGAAGAATAAAGAAACATGGACAGATGGTTTCTGTTGTGAGTAGGTTTCTTGCCCCTCAAATCTTTACCCTCATATCTAGCCCCCCTTTAACTATCCATGGCATCTTTAATTGAACCCTGGAAGGGAGTCATAAAGGCAAAAACTCTTAAGGCTTCCTATAATCACACATGTTAATAACTTTACCCACTGAGCCACATACTTCTAAATGCTAACAAGAAGTAAAATATTTTGTCATAGCCTGGCTCCATGATTTCTTCTCTGCACTGCTTGCTGTCACCCACAAAAGCTATTTTTATAATTTGTGATTCACTTTCACTTTTTGAATATAAAAGGTGAGAGACAAGTCTGTGCAATCGATTATTTCTCTGATTTGTAAACCCTGGTGTTTCCTCAAAGAGAAGCAGCCAACAGGACTTCCTCAGCAGGCCCACAGCTGCACAGAGCTCTTTCAGGACAGTGCCAATCCCCTGGATCTTCCAAAGACTAGAGAGCAGAGCTTCATTCAGGTGGGTAGTTACAAACAATGCTGTTGGAAGTCACTGTGCATCAACAAAAGACCTGTTTAATGCTCATATTCACAACAAAAATTGGCTTTGGTAGAAAAGACATTTCGAGATGTGATAGGAGTAACTCTAGCTGCTGTGCGTGGTTGTGGTATGTTATAACAGAAAGCAGCTGAGAGAAGAAAGGAGCTTATTTTTGTCTATGGCTCCAGGCAGATAATATACCATGAGGAGGAAGGTACGAAAACAGTGAGAGACAGAGGCAGGAAGGGTAAGGAGCTGGATGACTAAAGACTAACAAGAGAAACAACAGTAAGTAGGACCAGGCCATAGCACTCAAGACTCCCTCACTCCGTCCCAGTGATGGACTTCTTCCAGCAAGGCTCCATCTCCTAAAGGACTCATGAAGTCATCAACAGTCACTAACTGGAGAGGAACTGCCCAAACATCGTAAGTCTATGGAGGACATTTCCCATTCAAAGAACCTCAAGTTAAAATCCATCTCCAAATCTCTCTGATTCAAATAATACAAACCTCCAACCCCTCCTATTAGTTTATAGTGACTTAAACTGGGAAATGGTGTTTCTCATTCAGACCACAACTGGAATCCTAGTCAATTTCTTCCTCTTTCATCTGTATAACTTTCCATTGTTCACTGAAGAGGTGGTGAGACCCATGAACTTGATTCTCAATCACTTGGTCATATCAAACACTCTGGTTCTTTTCTCCAAAGGGATTCCTCAGACAGTGGCCACCTTTGGGTTGACATCTTTCCTCGGGGAGGCTGAGTTCAAACTTCTTCTCTATTTGTACAGAGTGGCCAAAGGGGTTTCCCTCAGCACCACCTCCCTCCTCAGTGGCTTTCAGGCCATTAAGCTTCACCCCAATAGTTTGGGGTGGCTGAACCTCAGAACTAGATCCTAAAAATGTATTGGTATGTGCAATTTTCTTTGCTGGATCCTGCACCTTCTGCTAAACATCTCTGTTACCATGATTATTGGTGGACCTAAAAAGAGCAGAAACCTGAGCGTTAAAGGATTACACAGATACTGTTCCTCAACCATGCCTGAGAGATTAACTTTCCTGCTAACAGGAGTGATTCTATCCCTAAGTGATATTATGTGCCTGATCCTCGTGGCCTGGGCCAGTGGCTGCATGGTCCTTGCCCTGCGTAAACACAAGCATCAAGTCCAGCACATCCATAGCCACAGCCACTCCCAAAGGTCTTCCCACGAGGACAGAGTCACATGCACCATCCTGATCCTGGTGACCATGTTTCTGTCCTTTTACTCTCTAGCTTCCATCTCATTATTTTGTATAACCCAGACTGTGAACCCGAACCCTTGGCTGCTGAACACCTCTGTGCTGCTGTCATTGAGCTTCCCAACACTCAGTCCTCTTGTGTTCAATTTTAGCAATATTTGTGTCCCTCATTTCTGCTCTGTCTTTTGGACAAAGAAAGCAAACAAACCAACTGTGGTCTCTGAGGATTGAATTCCTTCTAGGACATGCTAAGTTTAATGCACTTACTTTCTCCCAATATTTATAGGTTTACATGCTTGTTGTCATGCTTGTTAATCTGTAAAATTTTGGGAATCCAGTGTTAAAAAATGACAATTATTGCTTCACAGTTCTTGTTACATTGTCAAAAAAGTGAGCATAGGACCTCTCCCAAGGAACAATGTACGCTGACTACAGATCTTTACCTCTCCATCTATGTCCCAGATCCGGTCCCCCAGTCTCATTCCTGGCTTTCAGCAGAACATCAGTGGAAGAAACCCTAACCCTGATCTCTAGTAGATCCCATCGATATCCCCATCCTAGAGCCCCTCCCTCCTCTTGTTGCTTTGTTGCAGCCCCCAACCCCAACATGCTCTCCTTGTAACAAATTGATCACTCCTGCCAGGGAAGCAAATGGGGTCACTGCAGATCTTCAGCTCTCCTTCTGCTCCTCCAGATCCAATCCCCCAGTCTCATCCACAGCTCTGTAGCAGAACACCTACTGTGGTCTCCTTTTCTTCACTGATCACATCCCCAGTGGATCACAAAGATCTCCTGTTCATACCTTCCTTCCCCCTTCTCATCCTATTATTCCAGCCTCTAATAGAAGCAGGCATTTTCTGAGAACACACTAGAATCACAAGCCAGGGAAACACATAAGCCAATTGAAGACCTTGACCACAGCCCCATCTTCTCCAAATGCAGTACCCTAGTCTCAGAAAAACTCGGATGCAATTGTCCTTAGAGTAACAAAAATTTTACAAAAAAAAAAAATCAAGTTGGGCTACTGCTCAGCTTGCTTTGTTTCACTGATGGTCTGTGTTTGGGTCTAATGGTCTGGGCCAGTGTCTTCATGGTGAGAACCCTCCATAGGCACATGAGTCAGCTACAGCACATCCACAGTACCCAGCATTCCCTCAGAGTTTCCCCTGAAGACAGAGCAACAAAAACCATCTTGATCCTTGTGTGCACATTTGTCCTCTCCTACTCAATGTCCTTCATATTAGTTATCTATACTGTGATAGTTGACAGCCCAAGGCTGTGGATAATCAGCATATTTACATTGCTAGACACGTGCTTCCCTGCATTTTCACCTCTCCATCCTAATCTTAATCTGCTATAACAAATATACTCCCCAAAGTAATTTTCCCTGCTGTAGGAAAAGATAATTATTATCTATTTTTACTGCAATAGGAAAATATATTTTACTTTGTTCTTGATTCTGTTCATTCCTATTCATTAATATTTTCATATATCCTCTTCTTCTTTGTTCAAGTATAAGTCTCAGTGTTGACCAGATGGTATTAGTTAACATGATGGTTAATGGTGATAGTCCACTTGACAGGATCTAGAATCATCCAGGAAACAACATCTGGATATGTCTTTAAGGGAGTTTCTAGGTTGGGTTAATGGTGTTAGGAGACCCAATCTAATTCTGCATAGCCATCAAATCTCTGATTAGATTCCTGGACTAATTAAAGGGGGGGGGGTAAAGCAAGTTGAGAACTGGCATGCAGCTTTCTTTGCTGTCTGATTATAGATGCTATGTAATCAGCTGCCTTAACTTCCCAATCCCATGATTCCCTGCCAAAATGGACTGCACACTCAAACTGCAAGCTAAAATAAACCCCTCCCATCCTAAGTTGTTTTGTCATTTTCTGTCAGAATAATGAGGAAATTAAGTATGACAGTAATTCAATAGCACCCTAAATTACACTGATAAAAATCATATGGGCCAGCATAGAGGCTGCATCATATTTAAATGGAGCAAAATACTGAAGGCATTCTTTTCTCCTCACGTTGTTGCTACATGAACATTACACTGCCTGATGGCAGATAATGGTAAATAATGCAATTTGCGGGAGGCCCTCAACTCAGGCTGATCTCCCAAAACTTATAACACTACGTGTCACAGGGTGTTTTTATAACTTAGGTGATAGGAGAGGCTTAGAATTTCAGCATTGTATTTTGCCAGTGACCATGTCAGAGGAGCAGCAGGCAGCAAATGAGCTTATGGAAGTTGGTCCACCAGGAGGCAAAGCACTGATGGGTGAATCTTGGGAATGTGAGGCTCCAAGAGCTTCAGCTCCAGAATATCTCACTGTTATGTGTTTACATGTTTACCACTGACATTTTCCCTGGGATGTCTGGAATGGTGTGACTAAGTATGGAAGATCCCCACTGCCTTAATTAATTATGATATCTCATGGAAATATTCCATTCTACTGGGCATTATTACCTATGGATTTTTTTGAAGATGATTTCCTCTTAAACTGTACTGTTTAATTGAAGTAATGATTTTACACAATAATAGTGTTAGTATAAATAGAATTTTGCTGATTAAGGGTTTTTAACAAATGTAGTAAGGGTTTGATAGAGGTTAGTTTAGTGGAAAAATTAATACATGTAGAGTATCTGTAATATAGTAATACAGGATATACTGTTGCCCTCATCCCTGTTAGAGCAGGGGCTGCAGAGGGTAGAAAATAGAAACAAGGAAGTGTCGCACAGCTAAGACTTATGTATTTCTCCTAAGGAGCCATGTAGACTGTGACTTGGGTTAATGATTAAGGAAAATGAATGGGTCAGAGGCTAGGTTAGCTCATGTTCTTTTAATCTTAATTTTAGGAGATGTATTCGCAAATTTTAGCTTGCATCGTAGCTAAAACAAAGCTTTAAATAATGCTCAAGTTTAGGTTAATATTTCTTGTTAACGACTTTAAGGTAAATAATCTTGTGGAATAATTTAAAGTTTAGAAAGGCACACTTTTCATAGTTGACAAAGAGACCCATTGAGGTTAGGAAACAAAAACAACGGCAGTCTAGCTATTGCTGGCTGATATACCTTTCTTGCTAGGATGGGTTGGTGATCAAAGGTGATGATTAATTCCATTCAGTCTTTTCTGCCCTCAGCTTCCTGATATGATTTAACAAAAAAAGAAACTGTTGATAAATGGGTATATACCCTAAGGACTTAAAGTAGAAATGGCTGGTTGATTTTAGATATAAATTTTATATTTGTGATTCTTTCAAGATTTTTTTATAAGATTACCTTTTGAGATAAATAATAAAATGATCAATTCTCTCTTTGTAACTGCAAAATGCAACCTACCAGTAAAAGAATTGGCTGAGAAAAATACCTTGCTTGCCTTCACTTTGTTCATCTATAAGAAATTACTTGGATACGAATGTATGTGAGTTCTTGGGATAATTTGTTTTTCACCTGTAATATGTTAAATGTTTAATTATGTAAGGGAAATGAGAAAATGTTGCTTTCCACTTGTGTCCATTATAATTATTTGCTTGAAAAGTAGAACGCAACCACATTGTAATTTATATAATGCTTGAAAGATTTTGCTGGGATATATAAGCTGTAAAGGAAAAATAAAGAGAGAGAGATGATACAGTTACCCTAAAGGGGTGTGTGTGTGTGTGTGTGTGTGTGTGTGTGTGTGTGTGTGTGGTGTATGGTCTGTGTGTATTTGTGTTGGGCATGGACTTGCTATAAACTGCCTTTATTATGTTATGCATGTCCATTGTATTTCTAATCTCTTCTGGACTTTTACTGTGAAGGTTGTTGGATTTTGTCAAAGACTTTTACTGTATATAATGAGATGACCATTTTGTTTTTGTCATACAGTTTACATGATTGATTTTTGTATATTGAATCGTCACTGCATCTCTGCAATAAAACCCACTTTATCATAATGAATGATCTTTTTTGAGGCGTTCTTGGATTTGGTTTGCAAGCATTTTGTTGGGTATTTTTGCATCTTTGTTCATAAAGGAAATTGATCTGTTATTCTCTTTCTTTGTTGAGTCTTTATGTGGTTTGGATATTGTAAATCAAGGAACTATGACTTCAAATGCATTGGGCGAGGTTCATTCTGTTTCTACTTTGGGGGATAAATTGAAGAGTACTGGTATTAGCTCTTCTTTGAAAGTCTGGTAGAATTCTCCACTAAAACCATCTGGTCCTGTCCTTTTCTTGTTTGTAAACTTTTAATGACTTTCTAGTCCCCTGGAGGTTATAGGTCTGCTTAAATGGTTTATCTAATCTTGATTTAACTTTAATAAATGGTATATATATAGAGAGAAAATTATCCTTCTCTTTTAAATTTTCCAGTTTAGTGAAGCACTAGTGTTTAAATTATGTCCTTATGATTCTCTGGATTTCCTCAGTGTCTATTGTTAGGTTCCCATTTTCATTTTTGATTTTGTTAATTTGGATATTCTCTATGCCTTTTAGTTAGCTTGGATAATAGCTCTTTGTTTTGTTGATTTGTGTATTGTTCTCTGTTTCTATTTTATTGGTTTCAGCCCTAAGCTGATTAATTCCACTCATCTACTCCTCTCGGGTGTTCTCACTTCTTTTTGTTAATCTAGGGCTTTCAGATGCGCTGTTAAGTTGGCAGTATGAGGACTCTTCCATTTTTTGTTTTGTTTTATTTTGTTTTGTGTGTGCGCATGTATGCATGCATGTATGTATGTATGCATGTATGTATGTAAGCCCTTCATGCTATGAACTTTTCTTTTCACATCACTTTTCATATGTCCCATAAGTTTGGGTATGTTCTTTAGTCATTTTCATGGAATTCTAGAAAGATTTTATTCCTGTCTTGGCTCAATTTTCATTCAAAAGAGAGTTTTTCAGGTTCCATGAGTCTGTAGGCTTCTTCTTATTTATGCTGCTGTTGAGCTTCAGTTATTAAAATGTTAGATATTAAAAATGATTACATCAGCTTAAGAAGCTTGTTCTTTTCTAATGAGAGACAGAAAGACTGGATTCGATGGGAAGGAAATTAGGAAGGAACTGGAAGGAGTAGAGGGAGGGTAAACAGTAATCAGGATATATTGTGTGAGAAAGTCTATTTTCAGTAAAAGGGGGAAAATGGTGAGAATGAAAGGATTGTTTCTAATTGGCCCTTCCGCCTTAAATTAAGCCACAGCTCCTGACTTGTTACTTCATCTCCTATGTGCCATACTTTCTTCTC